CCTGCCCTGCCCTGCCGTGCCCTGCCCTGCCGTGCCCATCTCTGTTCCCTCACGGCGCTGCGGGGGTCGCGCAGCGAGTAAAGCCCTGACGGGGCGCGGGGTGCCCTGAGGGGCGGCTCACGGGTGATGCCTCTGTCCGCAGGATGGCCGCGCCGACGTGGTCGCCAACGACGCCGGGGACAGGGTCACTCCTGCGGTCGTTGCTTTCTCGGAAAGCGAGGAGGTGAGGCTTCCTTTCTGCGGAGGTGGTTTGGAAAGGAGGGGAGCTCTGCCTGTTGCTCACTTTTTTTTTTTCTTCTTTATTTTTCATTCAGGTTGTTGGCTTAGCTGCAAAGCAAAGTAGAATAAGAAATATCTCAAACACTGTAGTGAAAGTAAAGCAGATCCTTGGGCGAAGGTAAGAGAACAAGTGTGAAAGGGAAAGTGAGAAGTTCAGTTTTCCCCATTAAAGCTGGTCAGTGAAACATAGCCTCAGCACTGGTATCGAAGGTGTTTTAATCTAGTGTGATAGTAGTTAAGTTGACTTGGCGTTGACAGAAGAGTATGTCAGATCTTAAAAATTAATTACATTATGTACTTCTTATTCTACATTTCATTCCAGGAGTAAAGAGATGCGGAGTATTTTATATCAGAATTTGGGAAATCAAATTGTGAAATTTATTAGCAAGTCACGTGTATGTTTTTGATATATACTTAAGTTGCTTAACTAAAATGTCTTTTTGTTACCTGGATGTTTTCCTGTGGCTAAAATCCACTGTGGTTTTAGTTGCATGAAACTTTATATTGCCTTTTGTTGCAATCATGAAAGACGTTGACGTAATGCTCGTTGTGATTCTTCAGTTAGTGGAGCTGTGACGATTTGCACTGGCAGTTACAGTGATACTAGAACTAAGCTTGCTGGTTTAGGTCTGAAGTCAGAGATGTGACAAAACTTTTCAGTGGTAACCTAGCTGTGTGTTATTCCTCTGAAAGGAGCTGACAAGATGATGTCCATTCTGATGTATTTCTCAGCATATTTCATACACATAACTTGACATAGTTAGTAGAGGATTAAGGGTAGTCAGCTTATTGCTGCCACGTTATTTCAGTCAATACAACAAAAGTGCCACTATAAATCTTTTATAATGCTTATTGGGGTAGCACGTTAAAAAAATGTGTTGGTTTTTGTTTTCCCTTTTGACTAACTAGTAGGTATTTTTTTCTATCATTAGTTTGGGGAAAGGCGATTTAAGGCTACCAGCAGTCAGAACTTGGGTTTTCTTCTCCTGTATAAATATATCCATAGAGTGGAAACAGAAATTTTGGTTGAAGTATAGCTTCATATGCTGTAGTCATTATAAGGAATACCAGCAAGATGAATTTGTGCAATTATCCTTGAGCATGTGATTTATTTTGTTATTTTGAATTTGTCTGGACAGCTCTGGCGACCCACAGGCAGAGAAATATATCGCAGAAAGCAAATGTTCAGTGAGTATGATCTAGTTTTTCTGTTGTTCTCAGACTAACTTGTATCATTTTATACTGTTGTTCTTGGCATTGTTGGTGCCACACCATGCGTGTGTTCCGTAGTGATGAGCTCTCATTATATGAGGTCCATTTGCTGCTGTATAGAATGTTTATCTTTTTTATAAAGTAGAGAACTTCACTGTGTTCTGAGATCTGCCATCATAATATAGTCCAACAGAAAAATTATATGTATCTCTTGGCCAGTCTGATTTTTAATATATTTGGGTAATAGCGTTGTGGTGTTTCTTAGCACTGGTAGAAGATGCTCAGGTTCCAGCATCATGTGATAAAAAACGCTTCACCACCTGATTTAGTCTCAGTGTTTAATTTAAATAATACTGTGCTTGTTACTAGAAACCTTTTTGCAAAACAAGAGGAAAAATTATCCTGGAAAATACGTTCCTAAAGAAGGAATGAGCCTTTTCTGGTTTTTGACTGTTTGTATTAACAGGCTTATGTAGATTGTTGTTATTTTTCTTAAGGAATGTAAGCAGGCAAGTACTTTTGTTCTAAAAATTGCTTTTGTACTGAGGAAAACTGCTTAATAGAAAAAGAAAGTCTGGAGTCTTTAAGTCCATATCAATGTTACTGTCATGTCTGTTGGATAATAGAAGGGGGTTTTTGTGATCTTTGATAAGCATCTTGGAAGCATTTATTCTCTTGTAACTAATGCAGAAAGCATTTACACAGTCCCATGGTTTTTACTTGAGCAGAAGCCAAATTAACATTACTTCTTGTTAATAACCAAATTACGTATTTAACAAAAGTATGTTGGTTTTGCTTACAGATAATTGAGAAGAATGGAAAACTTCAATATGAAATAGATAATAAATTTATTAACCCAGAAGATGTGGCAAAACTAATTTTCAGTAAAATGAAAGGTATATAATAAGTAAAATCATAATATGTTTTAGTTTTTTAAGCTGTCCTCATCTTTTTAAGATGTGGTATATTGGTTTTTTTGCTTTTAATCAACATGTTCTGCCTATGTTTATAAACAGAAACTGCTCAGTCTGCATTGGGTTCAGATGTAAATGACGTTGTTATCACTGTACCGTTTGATTTTGGAGAGAATCAGAAAAATGCCCTTGGGTAAGAGGATTAAGATTTTTCTGTTATTTAACATGCCTAAAGCAGACTGGCTGGCAGATCAGCAATGGGAATTCTGCTGCTGGACTTCAGCTTGCGACTATCAGTCAAGACATTGGGATGCTATTTGAATGGGGAAAATGTGAAAGTAGGAGGTAAAAAATCCTGACTTCAGAAACTTTTCATGGAATTTACTGTTGTAACCAAAATGAAATTCTGAATGAACTGAAGTGAGAGGGAATTTTGGTATCATCAAGGATAGAATGTCATTTCAGATGTGTTTATTTGTAGTGGAACTTCAGTGTCTGCTTTGAAATGCAAATAGCTTTGAAATGCAAATAGTTTCTCATCCCTCTTCCATAATTTCCCATCCCTTCATACAACAGTACTCACCAAACCAAATGGCATTTCATGACTTTACTGAGGACTTTTATCAGAGAGCAGGTCAGAATACACACCAATATTCTTCTTGGAAGTTCTGCTTTGAAGTGTGGCTGTAAAAGTTCTTTCATATGAAAACATAAATAGGCTTAAAGCTGTGCGTAACTGGCAGCATCTGTTTCTGTTTTCTAGTATGTAGAAGCCATTATGTTGAACTGTCTTGAAATACTTAAAGCACACTTAAAGTTGGTCATAGAATATTAGTGAGCTGGGTAATTGCAGTATGTATAATGAAACATTCTATTGCTTTGCCATACAAGTTTCAAAATAACTTCAAAGTGGAGGAAACAACTTGTAGGGCAGTCCCAGGGTTACTGAAGTTTCAAGAAAACACATAAAGAAAATGTGAGAAGTGGGGTGCGGTAACTTGATTTGGAAGTAAAAGCAATTTTCCTAGCGTGGTATCTGTTGAAATAATGTACCAAGAACTTTTAATACCACACCTGAAGATAAGTTAGCCAGTTTGACTGAGGGTGGAGTTGCTGGTTTTTATGGGGCATGTAGACTGATACATCTGTGTTTTCTTTGATAATAAGCACACAGCAGATCCAATTACCTGAAGAACACAGTAGCGACTGAACTTCTTGATACCTTTCTTTTCCAGTCACTTTGCTTTGTTAATACTATGTTGTAACCAAGTTTTGAGTTGGTGACACATGTAGTTCAGATGAAATCTTAATAGTGTGTGTGACTATAGTGAAATATTAAAGTAAAATGAAATGCTGTTATGCCTTATCACAGGGAAGCAGCTGCAGCTGCTGGATTTAATGTTATGAGATTAATTCATGAACCATCTGCAGCTCTCCTGGCTTATGGAATTGGCCAAGATTCACCCACTGGGAAAAGGTAAAATCCTAATATTTTACTGCTTAAATTTAAGCTGCTGTACTTAAATCCTGAGAAATCTTAAACGAGGGAATGCTGTGTTGCCTTAGCAGTCAATACCAAATTAATGATTTGAGGCTTGTTCTTTTTTCTCTCAATAAAACCAATAACAATTTAGAAGTTGTAAATCCGTAGTGTTTTAAGTCCCTTCATTCTGGTTTTTATTTTTTTAGAATTGTCTTCAAAGATTTGTCCCCAGATTCTGTCTTGCTCCTTAATGAGCTGATTGGCTGGAAGAAAAATGCATCCCTTCTTAAACAGATTGTGGTATAGCTAGTTTTTAATTGCGGGAGATGGGGTTATTTTACATGTGGTAGAAGAACTAAAGTCAAGTTCCTGGGTTCAGTAGGTGCATTGGGTTTCCCTTATGACTATTCAAATAATTCACAAGATGGCACATAGTAATTCACAAAATGGCAAAAACTGCTGTCAGTGCAAACATGTCTTTTTTCTTCTTGATTGATTTTTTTTTTTACCCTTCTCATAGAATTCTTGATTATAATCTTGAATGTAATGTTCAGTTCTGAATTGTGTTGTAGGAAAAACATTGGCTACTCTCACTGTGTGAAACAGACTAATTTTGTTCTTTAGGGAACATTGCCAAGTAGTCAGTGGTACTAAGATGCATTAAATACAGACACCCCAAATCAAATTCTTTTGACAAAACTGATTAAAACCTGCAATACATTATATGGTGGTCATGTTTTTAGGAAGTGTGTCAAACATAACTTTAGGTGGCTTGTATTAATACTACTTTTTTTTTTAAACCATGGCAGCAATGTGTTGGTTTATAAACTTGGTGGAACATCGCTTTCTATCACAGTCATAGAAGTAAACAGTGGAATATATCGTGTGCTTGCTACGAACACAGATGACAGCATTGGTGGAGTTTGCTTCACAGAAGCTCTAGCACAACACCTAGCTTCTGAATTTCAGAGGTGGGTTTTGAATTCCAAGCATGTTGCTGTTAGGACAGGAGCTTCATTATCTGATGCTTGCTTTAAAAAAAAAAAAAAAATTATATTAGGTTGTCAGATCTAGTAGACTGACTGCGAGTGAAATGGCTCAAAGATATTAAAGGAGCATTCAGTTGTTGGGGGCCAAGGAGGAAGACTGGGAAATACTTGGTTTTCGGTAGGTGTTGCCTGAAGTTGGTGTTGAACTATAAGGGCTCAGCTATGAACTGTTCTGTGTTTTGAGTGATGTATGTGACTGCAGGCTGGTTACCTCCTTTCAGTCACCAGTTCTAGGGGTGGCAGGGAATTCACCTGTGTGAGTTTTGTTTGTTTTTCTTGTTGGCATGAAGGACTGTGGCAGGGCTTGGGTCATCAGACTGAAGTCTGTATGGCACGTCATCCTGTGATGAACAAAAATGAAAAAATGCATTACTGTTAGCTCTAGTGATTTTGAGATCGTCAGTTGTGTACTGTCACAGGAGGAGATGTTTTGGATGAAACATGCTATTCTGCTGACATGCCTAATGTTCAGTGTTCTATTTCTTAATCTGTTGTTAAAATTACTTAACTAACTTAACTTAACTAAAGGCCTTTTCTTGCTGTTCCTTGCAGTCACTTACAGGATTTGTTCAGCTGAGAAACTGTTCAGAAAGACTGAAATCTGTATGATAAACGCTAATGCCTGAGTTCAAGGTGCCTCTACGCAGTGTTCTGTAGTTGAAACTGAAATAGCCACTTCTATTCTTTGCGAGCTTTTAATAGTGACATTGTAGATAATACTAAAATGTCTACAGAAAAGAAGTTCAATAGCTTTAACCTGTTTTTCCTTTCAGGAAGTTAGTGTTGTCACTCAAATGCCTGCCTTTCTAAACTGTGCTTTTTTTTTTTTTTTTAAATGTAGGTCTTGCAAACATGATATCAGAGGAAATCCCAGAGCCATGATGAAGTTAATGAACAGCGCTGATGTTGCAAAGCACTCGTTATCAACCCTGGGAAGTGCAAACTGTTTTGTAGATTCATTGTATGATGGATTGGATTTTGATTGTAATGTGTCCAGGTAAAACAAATAGTGAAGCTACTGCTTTTGCATAAAACTGTGCTTGAAATATTTCTAGGGGGTATTTAGGATGTTCGGTAAGCTTTGATTTTTTTGTGGCATAAATTTTAGAAACAGAAGTCAGATAGAAGACAAAACTTGCTTGCTTGCAGCTTTGTTTCATATTGATGGTTCTGTTGTGATGTGATCTGTAGTAGTTAGGGTGGTAATACTAGCAATGTTGCCCTCATGGTTAGAAAATGAAGTGTGAAATGGCGCAGGGAGACCCCACCTTTGGAGTCTGGTTGTTGATGAGAGGGGCATAGATGCTGTAGTTACTCAAGGTGGGAGGGTGTTTCCCCCTATTATTGTTTTTGTTCTTGTTTTTTCCTTAAAGAAAAGAAGACTTTTGGACTCTTCCAATGAGCTCCAGAGTAATGTGATAGGAGTTGTGGAAGTCTTGATGTTGCCTCTATTTGACAGACGGAGTCAAAAGATGTTTTCTTTTTGTTCATACTGCTGTCCTACTCTAAGTCTTTTCTCTCTTGGAATGATATCTTAATGAGATGTTTAGCTAATTTTGATTGCTCTCCCAGTCAGCAGCAGCTTTAGCAAAATGAAACAGACTTTTCAATTCCAGAGCTGTGCATCCACTGCTGCAGCAGTTGGATCTGGTAAAATAAGGCACAGTATGTTTGCAAGCGTGAGCAGCAATGCTGTGTAATTTGTTTGTCTCAGTTTTGGATAAGGATGGTAGTCCTGTGGACTAGTGTTGCAGAATTTGACTTGCTGTATTCATACAGAGTAAAACTTCATCTTCAGGCTTGAAAGCCCAAAGCAAGCACAAGTTTGTTTTTCACTTTGCTTGAGTACCTACTCCTTGTGTGCAAATCGGGACACAGCTTGATTTACCTCTGAAAATTCAAGAGGCACATTTGAGTCTTTGTGTCTCCATTTTAAAGATGATGAAGCAGTTCCAGGATTTTTGCTTCTTTTTTTCACATCTGAGTCAAGACAACAATGCTGTCTTTTGTCAAGACAACAATACTGTTTTTTCTCTAGAGTACGCTGAAGAAGAATGAATGTGTGTTCCATGTAGGTGTTAATGATGGAATCAATAGCACAGTTATTTTCACAACAGCAACAAAATCACTTCTGTGAGATTAATAATTGGGAAATAAGATTTAAAAAAAAAAATCCCTTAGTACTTGGTGTAGCTGGTATGTAGAGAACCAAGTATATTCTAAAAATGATTGTTCTTCCATTGCAGGTATTTGTCTCTAATGGATGAGATGACACTTCTTGAATTTTTTTTTTTTCTTCTAGGGCCAGGTTTGAACTTATCTGTTCTTCACTTTTTAGTAGATGTGTAGAAGCAATTAAAAAGCTCTTGCAGCAAGTTGGATTTACAGCAGATGATATTAATAAGGTAATAATAGAAATTATTTGTGTGTAGCATGCTTTATAACTCCACGAGGAGAATATTTATGGGGCCTGGTTTCCTTGCAGACTGAGATTATTTCATGATGTGTTTAAGCATTTTTGGCTCAGATACAACAAAGTATGTAGACTCAAAACTTTTGAACTCCTATCTTTGCTTTGATTTCAGTTTTGTGAAGTTAAGTATAAGGTAGAGTCAGAGTCAGTGATGTGTTTTTACTGCTGTATATTGAGTAAACGGTAGAGGATTTGTCTCTGGTGTGTTTGTGTAACTCTTGGTAGAGCTGAGGATTACCTCTAGGTTTAGTATATAGACTTCCTTCTGCCTTCACTGAGCTTTGGATGGGGTTTTCTGACACTTCTGAAGAAAGCCTGAGTTTCGACTCTTTTTCTTACGAGTTGAACACCAAGTGTCTACTTGGTGCCTGCGTTCTTCCTTGTAAGCTTAAACACAGGAACATATTAGATGCCAAACCATAGTGTGTTTTAATGCCAAAGATGGTGAGTAAAGTAGGAAACACTACTAGGTTCATTCAAATGTCTTTTTTGCTTTGATATAAGAGAGTAACTTCAATCTCAACCCCTCTGCACCTGTGTGTGGCAAATAGTGCTGCATTTATTCCTGGTGGAGTTGGCGTGTAACTTCTGCAGCAAAAGTTAGCTGGTGCTTTTAACGATACTTGATGCTGTTTCAGAATCTTCATTAATGTTTGCTGTGTCACATCTGAATTTCACTGGTAGGATAATGAAGTATCCTAGGCCATTGTTCAGAGAAAGTCTTTTGTTTTCTGGTGGCAGTATTTTTTAAGTGGCCCAATGTGCTGTCCTCTCAGGCCTTAATGCTTTGGGGGGGGGGGGGGGCGGGCAGGGGCACTTTAAATGTAAAAATAAATGAACCTAATTTACAACTCTTAAGTTATGTTTTACGTGAAGAGAAGTGGGAATTAGCTTTGTTTCCAGATCTGGTTTATCTCCACAAAGTTGCTGTAATAAGAGAATGTTTTTAAGTGTGTTTTTTTTCCTCTTGCGCAAGTTCAGTAAGTGGCAGCTGGTTGTCAGTGACATCCCTCAGGATTTGCTACTGGGGCTAATACCATTTAATGTCTGTATTAATAACACAGATGATGGGGTAGCGTGTGCTATCAGCAAGTTTGCAGGCAGTACCAAAATGAGGGGAGCAATCAGTATCACTGTAGGTCAAGGCTGCTATTCAGAGGGGTTGAAAAAGGCAAGAAAAATTTATATAATAGAATACTTCAGTTGGAAGGGACCTACAGTGATCATCTAGTCCTCTGGAGAACATCACAAAGATCAACAAAGACAAATGTAGAGTCTGGGATGGAATAATTCTGTGCAGCAGGACAGGCTAGCAGTTGCTAGAAAGCAGCTTTGCAGGAAAAGACTTGGGGGTAATTTCTATTCACTTGGGGGTTCTAACAGGCAGTAAGTTTAATAGCAGTCAGCAGCGTGCCTCTGCAGCAAAGGCGGCCAGCTGCGCGCTGGGCTGTAATAGCAAGGGTGTAGCCATGGGCATAGGAGAGCATTTCTTTCCCTGTTTGGCTTTTGAACAGGGTGTCCAGATACAATCTCATAATTTTTGGGCTTCAGGAGGTGAAGGGTACTGACTGGAGCCAGTCTGGGTGTTTGCTCACCTGTAAGAAGACAAGGCTCAGGGAAGACTAGTGCTGCCTATAGTTACTTGATAGGAGGGCATACATGAGACAAAACCTGACTTACTCCTTACTGTGGGTGCATGATGGAAGGGTGAGTGGCAAGCAGCACAAGTTACAACATGGAGAAATTTTAGATACCAAGAAAAGAATTTGTAGTGTGAGGGTGATCATATGCTGAAACAAGGGCCCACAGAGTCTGTGGGATCTATATCCATGGAGATAAGGTCCAGAGCAGCCTGTTGTAACTGGACCTGTCCTGGGCAGGAGGTTGGACTAGATGACTTCTGGAGGTCCCTTCCAGTCTTGATGTTATTTTATGATGAATTCTTCAATTTTTAAAATGTTACTTAATCTAGCTGATGTTTACTATAAGAAACACATTTTCAAGGTATCGTTTCAAACTTACAAGCTATTTCCTTGAATTTCAAATACAAAAGTAACAGAAGTCGAGCAAAGATGGCATCAATTTTTACTTCAACAGCTACAGATGATAAAATATCCCAGAGCAGTTTGCGTTTCTGTATTGCAGATTGACACCTGCCTGTTTTATCTGTCAGAAGAAAGATTTGAAATCATTAAGGCATGTTTTCCAGGTAGTCCTGTGTGGTGGGTCTGCTCGAATCCCAAAGCTGCAGCAGCTGATCAAAGACATTTTCCCAACTGTGGAATTACTGAATTCAATTCCTCCAGATGAAGTTATTCCCATTGGTGCCGCCATAGAGGCAGGGATTCTGTTAGGGGAAGAGAATCCTTTTTTTGAAGAAGAAGCAATCTTTATTGAGTGTTCCGCCAAAGATATTCTTCTTAAGGTAAGGCTAAAATTATTTAACTTAGAAAATCTTACTGCTGCAATGAATATACAGCACTACTTATGCATGATTGATGTTAAAGAAACTGTATTGTTTTATTATTAGTTCTACAGATTGACTATTGATCAGCAGTAAGTGGTAACTTAGGTTTATTGATAAAAAAATTGACAGGAGAAACTCCTTGATTTTAAGGGGAGATAAATTGTGTCTCTGCTATGTTTTAATAGCTGGACTTCTTAATTTATTTATAGGAATGCCTTTTTTTTATACTTGATGGTATGGTACATGTGCCAGAGAGAATGAATCTATGAATCTTGGATTTCTTTTCTTATGGAGCTGTTATAACACTTCCAGCTCACTAACATACTTAGAGAAAGGCATGAACTTTCTTTTTTCTTTTTAAAGGGAGTAGACGAGTCAGGGGCTGACAAATTCACAGTGCTATTTCCATCAGGGACACCATTACCAGCTCGAAGGCAGCACACCCTGCATGCTCCTGGAAACATGTCTTCTGTGTGCCTTGAACTATATGAGTCATTGGGGAAAAGTCCCATGAATGAGGAAGGTAAATTTGCACAGGTGAGTATGTATATATGGTCATATGCACTTTTAATATCGATGACTGGGAAATCAAGTGCATCAGAGGAAAAAAAAAAATTAAAACTAAAACCAATCCCACCCCTACCAAAACTTCTTGTTACAAAATTAGAATGACGTGCATCTCTTCAGGAATGGCTTTTAAGCATTCTTCTAAAATGTGTTATGAAGTACTGAAGCACTTTAAGAAATTGAAGTCTCCCTTTTGAATTTCTAAATGGCTGAGTTTGATATTTGGCACTACTGTAGTAAGCTCACCTGGCATGAGAGATCATAACCAGTCATTCCAGTAGTACGTGGATCTCCAAAATTTTAGAAATAAAACTGCTGGAGGTTATGATGTAGCTAGTGTATGTACTGTTGGTTACTTTCTGATCTTCCTACATTGGGCAGGTTCTTGGTATTAAATACCACATTTGATTTTTCACAGTGGTAAGATGATATGACTAAATCCTCACCCGATATAAAGATATGACTCAGGAGTCAACCTACTGAGAGAACACAGCTTGTTTGAAACGGTGATGATGTGCTTACCTTGGCTTCGGTGCACTTACAGCATCAGGGAGGGGGCAGATGTGGCTGAAATGGATGGAATACTTGAGAAAATTGTTATTCCACCTTGGTTCCGGCCAAAGATCTTTAAGGGGATAGGGAAAAGATGTTACCTGATAATTACAGAACTGATCCTAAGTAAAGGAACATGCTTAGCTCTTACTGTAGTCTGTGGGAGTTGTAGGTACTACAGCTATCTTAGTGATAGACCTTGGAACAAAAGCACTGAAACAGTACTGCAAATAGCTAAAAATACATAGATTTGCACTACAGATGAATGAAGTCCACTAGGGCATGCTTTGGTGTTGAATTATTAGTATGAGATGCTAAACAGAATGAGTTGTGCACCTTAGCTATTGTGTCACTTCCATTAAACTGCTGTGCAAGGATTTAGAGAACTTTAACGTCTTTTTTTTTTTTAATAGATTGTACTCCAGGATTTAGATAAAAAGGAGGATGGCCTACATGATATACTAACTGTACTCACAATGAAAAGGTACCCAAAATATTTGTTGTTCTGCTGTTTAACTTGCTATGTCACACTTCTTACAAGCACTCTTTTCTCCTGTTACAGAATGTGTAATTTTGTGTTGTGAAATTTCAGCATTTCATTGCTTAGAGGGCTGTGTCCTAGCAGGGGTAAATTCTGTAGGAATGTGTTTTTTATGCAGTACCTTCTGTGCTGTCATTGTTTGATTCCTAAAGAAATGAAACTTAACACAGTTGTATAGATGATTTTTATCAACTTTTGAACTGCTGATCAGTTTAACCATGCTTGAGAGCAGTTGATCTCAAGTTTCCTGTGAAAGGGCTCAGGGAATTCTGTTGAATGCCCACACTCTTAAGAAAGACTCAAGTACAATCGGTCGTTATTAGTTGCTAAGGAATCCATGAAGGACTTCTCCTGTGCAGCACTTGTGATGAAAACCTGTGGCTCTGTCTTTTCAGAGACAGGGTTGTTAAGCATGAGAAACAACACCACGGGAAATCAGGCTTCATAAATCTACTTTTTACAGAATTACCTGGTTATTATGGGAAGGTATGAAGTATCTTATAGCAGGGTGGGGAATGGGGATGACACTATATTGAAGAAACATCTCTTTCTTAGGTCTTAATAGAGGTGCTTGGGATCATTTGAAACAGTCAAAATAGTTTATAAAGATATCAGAAGGTGGAATTCTAAGTAGTCAAAGTATGTTTGTCTTCTGAGGACTGTCCTGAAGTTCATACTGCTTTTCTAAATAATATGAAAGTTGTCTAGATGTTGCTGAAAAACGAAATCCCTACTTGCGATTTGAGTTCACAGTACTTTGTTTTCTTATGTTAACTATCAGGTGTATTAATGCTCTGTTAATAGACTTCACCTAAAATACCTTGTTAGTCATACAGAGCACTTAGCACTGATAAGAAAAACATCTTGGGGGTTATATATGCAACTGTGTAGTGCAGAAAACCTGCGTTATTTTAAAGGGTTTTTTAGTAATATTTAGGTGAAAAAGATGAGGGAAGGTTCCCTAGAACACATCTATTTCTATCTAAATATTACATGTGACTGTTGTATGTCTAGATGAAGTACAATTCAATATTGTCTCTAATCCGTGGATTTTGAAAATTAGGGGCTTCCTCCTTGAAGGAGATCCTTGGTATTTAAAGACTATTACTACTTTTAAAAAGTCAAGTTCTCATGCTTTGAGAAGACATGCTTATCTGTTGGTTGCTGTTACTCAGAGCTCTCAAGATGAGTATTTTGAATAATATTACTGTATATTCAATTTACTAAACCTGTACTAAATGAACTTAGTTACAATATTTAAACATGTTCCTGAATCTGTTCCACCATATGTAGAGAAGATACATGCTTTAATGGAGAGCAAGAAGTGCCTGTCTAAATACTCAATAAACTAAACTTAATTTCATAGATTAATTTTGTCTGTGTTGAAGCATTTTCTTCCCTGGATATTTTGATGCTCATCTTCTTTCCTTTTGTTTGCATGAAGACTTGCTTATCCTCTGGAACATGCTGTCACGTACCAAGTGTTGTGTTGCGATAGTCCTAAACTTACCTTTCTCTTTTATCTAGGGATGGGTCCTTGCATGTTACCTGCACAGATCAAGATACCGGAAAGTGTGAAATCATCACTGTTGAAGTGGCGTCATAGTCCCTTTTGAAAGGCAACATTTTTCTAAGTTGATTTTTGCCTCTCTTTCTGCGAAAGTGGTGACTGTCTGAGATGTCTTTAATGATTCTTAGAGGACTGTAATAAACTGAAGTAAAACATTAATTTGCCACCAAGTCTGTTTGGAGTAGAAAGAGCGTGGTGTAAAATATTAATCAAGACATGCAGACAGCAAAGCATTGAATTATCAGCGCCTGATTTAAAAAATGCAAAGGGCAAATCCTCATGCCTGTGGTTCAGCAACAAGCGTGTTACATGGTCTGAAGTTTTTTTTTTCTGTGGACTGATTGGGTCATGTACCCATTCAGCCACATCATCTGCGGCTTCAGCAGCATAACATTGAACCAGCAAGAGCTAAACCGGTGCAAATCTGCTTTCTAAGTGTACCAAATTGTACTGAAGTCCTGCGTGGTCTTGATGTTGCCTGAAACCGTGGAGGTGATGCCCATTTGTGCTGGATTTTTTTTTTTTCTGGAGTTACTGTAAGATGGTTTTGTGATGTTACCTGAAAAATGTGTGTAAGGGTTATATCTGCTTATTTATGTGTTAATAAAATATGGTTTTTATGCAGATCCTGGCATCCTCCATTCTGTGTGGCACTGTTCTAATCTGTATGTCTCATATTTGTTTGGATATAAGCTGGTGGCTTTCATTTTAGGTAGGGGAGTAATAAGAAGGAGACAGAGCGGGCAAGTGTAGTTACAGGATTTAATGTGCAGCTAACGGGGGACAGTTCAGCCCTGGGGCCAGATCTTACCTGGTGAAGCATTCAAAGTGACACAGTAGAGCCTCAAAATCAGAGAGAAACTAGAGCAAGGATTTGAAGAGCACTGTGGTCAATTACCTGGTTTTAGACAGGCTTCCCTAATTGTCTTGCGTTTGCAGAATGTGTATTTCGGTATTATTCATACCTCACAAAAGCAACAGATACTGCTTAGCATAGGTAGAAATCTTACTGCGTTCCAAGGCACTGTCGGTACGGTGGGGTTACCAGCCTAGGCGCGGGCTGTGAGTGGAGGAAGGGCGGGGAAAGCTCTGCCTCCCTCACCCCGGCGCTTCGCACCTCTGCAGAATAACTGAGCTGTTGCCCAGTTCCTGCGTGAAACTTCTACAAGGGGTCTTGGACCACGGAGCCCCATTGGTCTCAGCCGGTGCCATGAAAGAACAAGGAGAAACCGCTTCAAATCTTGCCTCGCTCTCCGCAGCCCGCCCGACGCCGGCCGCCC